GTCAGATGGTGGATTCTGAATATTCTGCAGAACCCATTTCGGGGCTGATGCTTATTATTCATTATTTAAAGCTCTCGGCTCAGGTAACATAAGTATATTGATACCGTTGGGCAATGCGAACATAAAAAGCAAAAAGGAGATGCTTAATATTTCATGGGGAAACACAAGTCTACAGCGACAGGTGGTCAGAGAGAGACAGAGGGGCATCAAATGAGTGATTAAGGGTGACAGATCTGTTCCAGGTGCAGCACTGTTATACAGCAACATCTTCCGCTGATGTCTCCATATTAGATTCTCCCTGTAGAAGACAACTGTATACCAGACACTGCAATTCTCACCACTGAGGAAACAAAGCCAAATAGCACCTATGCTGGATTCTGACTGCAATACCCAACAAGGTCATAATGGCTGATAATCAGCAAGAAGGAAGCAGAGCAATGACTGTGAAAAGAACATTAAAAAAACAAAACAGACTGATGAGATTTTTTATAACGATTAAAAAAAAAAAAAAAGCGTTTAGAATAAAGTTTAACCCCTTCCAGTCCGGACACTTTCCCCCCCTTCCAGTCCGGACACTTTCCCCCCCTTCCAGTCCGGACACTTTCCCCCCCCCCTTCCAGTCCGGACACTTTCCCCCCCCTTCCAGTCCCGGACACTTTCCCCCCCCTTCCAGTCCGGACACTTTCCCCCCCCTTCCAGCCCGGACACTTTCCCCCCCTTCCAGCCCGGACACTTTCCCCCTCCCCCCCTTCCAGTCCGGACACTTTCCCCCCCCCTTCCAGTCCGGACACTTTCCCCCTCCCCCCTTCCAGTCCGGGACACTTTCCCCCCCCCCCCTTCCAGTCCGGACACTTTCCCCCCCCCCCTTCCAGTCCAGACACTTCCCCCCCCCCCCTTCCAGTCCGGACACTTTCCCCCCCCCCTTCCAGTCCGGACACTTCCCCCCCCCTTCCAGTCCGGACACTTCCCCCCCCTTCCAGCCCGGACACTTTCCCCCCCCTTCCAGTCCGGACACTTTCCCCCCCTTTCCAGTCCGGACACTTTCCCCCCCCCCCTTCCAGTCCGGACACTTTCCCCCCCCTTCCAGTCCGGACACTTTCCCCCCCCTTCCAGTCCGGACACTTTCCCCCCCCTTCCAGTCCGGACACTTTCCCCCCCTTCCAGTCCGGACACTTTCCCCCCCCTTTCCAGCCCGGACACTTTCCCCCCCTTCCAGCCCGGACACTTTCCCCCCCCCTTCCAGTCCGGACACTTCCCCCCCCCCCCCCTTCCAGTCCGGACACTTTCCCCCCCCCCCCCTTCCAGTCCGGACACTTTCCCCCCCCCCCTTCCAGTCCGGACACTTTCCCCCCCCCCCCTTCCAGTCCGGACACTTTCCCCCCCCCCCCCCTTCCAGTCCGGACACTTTCCCCCCCCCCCTTCCAGTCCGGACACTTCCCCCCCCCCCCCCCTTCCTTCCAGTCCGGACACTTCCCCCCCCTTCCAGTCCGGACACTTCCCCCCCCTTCCAGTCCGGACACTTCCCCCCCCCCCCTTCCAGTCTGGACACTTTTTTTTGCTATGTAAATGAAAAAGTCCAACGGTTTTGAAAAAAAGTGTTTTTCTTATAAAATGTTGCAAATAAATAATATTTCATCATAAATCTTGGCCAAAATGTATTCCGTTATCTTTTTAGTAAATAAAAAAAAATAACCCAAATTAGTTTATAACAAAAAATTATAATTTTTAAACTTTTTTTTTACATTATTTTTTTTTTAATATTATTTGTTTTTTTTTTGTTTGTTTTTTTTACATACTGTCACCCTAGCAGTACAGTGTCACCATAGTGACACTGTACTACTTGTGGGAGGTGGTGAAGTTTTTTTTTTTTTTTTTTACACGGATTGCTTTTACACCCATAAAGGCTGCAAAAGCAATCATTTCTCCTTCTCTCTGGCTGCATTCCTGCAGCCATTGAAAACTACTGTGTGAGCTGTGATTGGCCACAGCTTGTCACATGGTACAAGGCAGTTGTGAATAGCCCTGTACCATGTGACCTCTGTGATCATTCATAGATTTCACACATAGTAAGCAATGATGTCAGAAGTGACATCTTCTTACTACTCTACATGTGATCACTGATTGGCCAATCAGTGATCAGATGATTGGGACCTCGCACAGAGGTCCCGTACGCCTATCGGTGATCCACTGTGTCCCGGAGGACACAGCGGGCACCGCATCGCGGTGCTGCGTGTTTCCAGGGAGCGCGCACAAGCAGGAGGCGGGGAGGGCCGTTTATAAACAGCCACCTGACCCTGCACTGCCACCGTCCGACCGTTTATATACAACAGATGGACAGGAAGTGGTTAATAAAGTTGCAGTAAAATTAGATGAAAACCGAATTTCTAAAATCTGATTTTTTTTAAAATTAATTTATAGTGATAAAGTGTACAAAAAGATAAAAACAAGAAAGATGTACCCATATCAATTAGGAACAAGACTGTCTCCTTTAACGTGGGATGAATAGCGAGTTGACTGCGACTCCTCAGGGGTAAGCTCATTAGTCAAAGACGGAAGCGACTCAAAATCAGAGAGTCACTGTGGTGGATGGCTTGGAAGCTGCTAATGCCGTGGGCAAATCAGATAAAAACTGCAGGAGAGGAACACATTGAAGTTCCACGTGGCTCTTGGCAGGCATAAGAAGTGGGAAGATGCTTCCCCAAAACTGAGAAAGAGCGCGTACACAACCCTTGAGCAGATGATGTCAGCACTCAGCCCCACAGCAATAATCCCTTCCTCGGGGGAAAACCAGCGGAAACAAGGAATAAAGTATCCCGATGCATTTGGACCTGGAAAGCCCTCTACAGCTTTCACTAGAACTGGGTCTGGAAAGCACTCCACACTGAACCCAGTGCCCTAAAGTCACTTCCAGGTTATCCCCATAAAGTGTATTGGGGTCCAAACGGGGTACTCTAAAATCCAGCCTAAGGGTGACTACGTCCAATAGCTGCCATCGAAGACAAAGCTGCAGCAGTAATGCAGAAAACAGTCTTGACTGAGGAGAAAAATGAAAGCAAAAATGCTAGTAAAAATAGGTTAGTCTTTAACCTCCCTAGCGGTCTGATGATGTCAGTATTTCTGTGCCAAAGCGGTACATTATTTTCAATGGAAATATGTTGTTTTTTTATTGTAGGCTGTAATTCTTAGGAATAACTCACTGAAATCTGTCCGAACAAGAGTCTAGTAAACATCCCGGGGAGGATAAATTTTGAAACATGAAATCATAAATTATAATATAATAAATAATTATAAAAAATAATATAATAATAATAAATGTAATTCAATAATATAATAAAACCAAAAACACTGAAATGTGAAATAGAGCGCCAAGTTGGCACATCGCTGAGCTCAGTCGCAGAATCGTTTTCAGTGTCTGATGAGGAATTTCCCCCACCAATCATTATCACTCAATTCTGCAAGTGGTTCTGATTTACTATCGCTGTTCTCTAGCCGGTCTAAAACCGCGTCTGACCTAAAGGGACGCTTTTTGGACGCCATGGACGTTTCTCAGTTTCCAGGCAGAAAGAACAGTAAAAATGCTGGCAGGGCGCCGGACAAAGCACTCGGGACAAAATGTCTGTGAAATGGTTTGATACAGGAATGTTATACTATGTGATTTTAGTGTATTTAGTGAATGTCAAATTTTTTACATTTTTTAAATTCCCGTCAGTTCCATCCCCCGTACGTCCCGACGTCGCAGGGAACGGAACCCGGAAGACAGATGCCGGCATCGGCCGGAGAACATTGCCAGGGAAGCTGCAGGGGGGACATCGCGGGAGCGCAGGACAAGGTAAGTGCAGGAGGGATCACAGAGCAATGCTGCAGTGTATTCCCGAGTGTAGCTCGGGGGGGGGGGGTCACCGCTTGTGGTGCTGAAAGTTAACCCCGAGCTACACTTGGGAATACCTCCAGGGGGGGTTAAAGTGGAACTTCAGTCTCTCAATCAACAATGATTATTTCTAATCCTTCTGGTAGATAGATAGGAAAATATATAATTTTTTTAAAACTTTATTTTCCTTACATTTCTTCATTTACTAGGCAAATGATGTCAAATATCCAAGGAGTCTTCCGGGGAGGAGGAGGGGCTTTCTTAGCTAAGCACACCCTCCTGCCTGCCTGGGCCAAGGTCAGATGGATTCCTGGAAGTGAATGCTACATGAATCATCTGTCCTTATTTAAGATGGCCACAGCCAGAAAAGCTAGGGGGGGGGGGGGTTTCAGTGACATCTCAGCAAAATAAAGCATAGAGACATAGACAGATTGGGTGGGTTGGCGTTGATTATTACAAATAAACTCGCATTTTTGGTTTGTGCTGCTCAGATGCAGTGAAGTTCTGCTTGAGCATAAGAAAGCTGCAGAAAAGAAAATTTTTCAAGGACACTTGCTAAAAACTGAGGTATGCTGGTAGAAGGAGGAGTTATCCTGGGCTGACTGACAGTTTGTTTGCCAGTGTCCTATCCTCCTGTAAGAGGAAAGTACAACCCAATGGTTAAAAGACTTCTGTATACCTCAATGGATGATAAAGGAAGTTAAAGCGGAGTTCCAGCCTCCTCGGCACCTTTCTACAAAAAGTACTTGCATTATTCTCTGCTGTTGCAGTATATAATTAGTACAGTGTTCAAAGTGTATGTCGTTTGCTTACTTGTGAATTGACATTTCTCAGCAGGATCCCAGCAGGCAGGCAGCGGCCATTACTAGTGTGGGCATCTGAAGCGAGCTCCTACTTTCTTCTGGATTCGGTGCAGCTGGCTACCCAGCATGCACCTCCTGATCTTGCGATTGCGTTGTAAGGACACGGTCCAGCACACTGTGTTGTTTGTAGGTTGCCATAACAATGGCGGCAGCGGTAGAACCCGCCCTGCTGTTATGGCAACCTGTCAATCATTCCTCCCGATAACGTCACTTCTGGTCAAGAAATACTGCGAGGCTTCCCAAAAAGACACCTGGGAAAACCGATATCGCAGTGGATGGATTGGCAGAGAGGGGTAGCAGACACTGAATGGAGGTCCTTGGAGGGATTGGCAGAGAGGGGTAGGAGGCCAGTGGAGGGATTGGCAGAGAGGGATGGAGGACACTGAATGGAAGCCAGTGGAGGGATTGGCAGAGTGGGACGGAGTACACTGAATGGAAGCCAGTGGAGGGATTGGTAGAGAGTGATGGAAGACACTGAATGGAAGCAAGTGGAGGGGATTGGCAGAGAGAGGTGGACGACACTGAATGGAGGCCAGTGGAGGGATTGGCAAAGAGGGGTGGAGGACACTGAATGGAGGCCAGTGGAGGGATTGGCAGAGAGGGGTGGAGGACACTGAATGGAAGGCCAGTGGAGGGATTGGCAGAGTGGGGTGGAGGACACTGAATGGAGGCCAGTGGAGGGATTGGCAGAGTGGGGTGGAGGACACTGAATGGAGGCCAGTGGAGGGATTGGCAGAGAGGGGTGGAGGACACTGAATGGAGGCCAGTGGAGGGATTGGCAGAGTGGGGTGGGGGACACTGAATTGAGGCCAGTGGAGGGATTGGCAGAGTGGGGTGGTGGGGGACACTGAATTGAGGCCAGTGGAGGATTGGCAGAGAGGGGTGGAGGACACTGAATGGAAGCCAGTGGAGAGATTGGCAGAGTGGGGTGGAGGACACTGAGTGGAGGCCAGTGGAGGGATTGGCAGACAGGGGTGGAGGACACTGAGTGGAGGCCAGTGGAGGAATTGGCAGAGAGGGGTGGAGGCCAGTGGAGGGATTGGCAGAGAGGGGGGAGGACACTGAGTGGAGGCCAGTGGAGGAATTGGCAGAGAGGGGTGGAGGCCAGTGGAGGGATTGGCAGAGAGGGGTGGAGGACACTGAATGGAGGCCAATGGAGAGATTGGCAGAGAGGGGTGGAGGACACTGAACGGTTGGTAAGGTGGATGAGCCTGGCAGCAGTATTCATGATGGATTGGAGGTAATCCAATGAGAAGGGAGTTGCAGTAGTCGAGGCGAGAGATGACCAGGGAGGGAATTAGGAGCTTTGTGGTGTCATTGGTTAAAAAGGGGTGTATTCTGGAGAGGTTACGGCGGTTGAGGCGGCATGATTTGGACAGGGATTGGATGAGGGCCTGAAAGAATAGTTCAGAATCCAGGGTTACCCCTAGCACCCTGGCATGCAGGAATGAGAGCATAGAGACAATGGCTGCAGAGAGGATGCAGGACATCAGCAGTACTGAGGTGCGACAAAAGAGGAAGAGCTGTGAAAACCATACTTTATGAAAAAACAAAACATGACAATTGTTAATGATGCGCGGAGCTTTTAAGCTAAACGTCATTCAATTCTAGTTTACATCTACTTTAGGTAAGCACCAAATGCTTGGACTCACATGAAATTCTCCGGGTATTCGCTGAGTGCCATGTCAATGATGTTCAGGGCATCATGGTAGTGTTTCTGAGCAGAAAGCAGCAGCGCCAACAAGTGGAGGGAATTGGAGTCATCACCCTGCAGCTGAAGAGCCTGTCGCACATAACCTAAAGCCTCTGGAATCTGGAGAGAGTAATCAGATCACAGATCAGAAACACACAAAAAGAAGCTAATCCTAGTTTGATGTATGACTTCCAAACAATTTCTCAAACAAGTATTAGGCAGTGTCACCCCATAGTCTGGTCTTCACACTCTCAAGTTGTTTTTGATTGCAGCTTTCCACCTTCTACAACTGACCACTACACTACCAATATCATAAAATGGAAATCAAATTTAAACTCCAGACAAAAAAAGGTGTAAAATATAATTATTTAATTAACCTCTTTCCTGCCAAAGAATTTAGAAATATTATCATTTTGACAATTTTTATCCACTTGCCTACAGGGCACTTATACCCCCTTCCTGCTCAGGCCAATTGTCAGCTCTGTCACACTTTGAATGACAATTGCGCGGTCATGCAACAATATACCCATATGAAATGTTTATAATTTTATTTTCACAAACAGAGCTTTCTTTTGGTGGTATTTACTTGTCGCTGGGGGTTTTATTTTTTGCGCTATAAACAAAAAAAGAACAAAACATTTGAAAAAAAGTTTCTTTGTTTCTATTATAAAATTTTGCAAACAGGTAATTTTTCTCCTTCACTGATGTGCATTAAGGCCGCACTGATGAGCTGGCACTGAGCCGGCACCGATAGGCGACACTGACTGGCGCAACTGCTGGGCACTGACTGGCGCAACTGCTGGGCGGCACTGCTGAGCACAGGTGGGTGGCACTGCTGGGCACTGATCGTCAGTGCCCTGATGATCGGTGCCGATCCCCCCCTCTGACAACTGCTGGTTCTCGGCAGTACTTTCCTCACGCTCTGACAGCGTGAGGAAAGTGCAGCCGAGAACCGGCAATTGCATTTCCCGGTGATCAGCGTGTCATTGGACATGGCTGATCACGTGGTAAAAGGCCGCTGTGATTGGTCTTTTACCACATCATGTGATCACGGAGATCGCTTTCAATTCCTGTCCAAGAGACATGACAGGAAGTGAGGGGAAATCTCTAAAAAGTGGATGAAATCTACTCTGCAACGACTACTGCAACTCCCTCCTCACTGGCCTGCCTCGCCGCTGGCTATCGCCGCTTCAGTCCATCCTGAATACGGCTGCCAGACTCATTCACCTTTCCAACCGCTCCGTTTCGCCACCCCCCTCTGCCAATCCCTCCACTGGCCTCCACCCCCCTCTGCCAATCCCTCCACTGGCTTCCGATTGCCCAACGGATCAAATTCAAAATCCTAACACTGACGTCCAAAGCCGTCCACCATACTGCCCCGAACTACATCACTGACCTAATATCCAAGTACCACCCAACACGCACACTCCGCTCCTCACAAGACCTCCTTCTCTCTAGTTCCCTGGTCTCCTCCTCCCATGCCCGCCTCCAGGACTTCTCCAGGGTGTCACCCATCCTCTGGAACTCCCTGCCCCAACCCATCAGATTATCACCTACTCTCCTCTCCTTTAGGCGCACCCTGAAAACCCATCTCTTCAGGGAAGCCTACCCCACCCCCTGCTAACTTGCCGACCTCCTCCACTCTTCCTACCACTCCATCCCCCACAGCTATCTCCTCCTGTACCACCATCCCCTCCCTCCTAGATTGTAAGCTCGAAAAGAGCAGGGCCCTCCATCCCCTCATGTTTTGTATTGTATTAGTATTGTTCTGTCACATGTTCTGTCCCCCTCTGTAATGTACAGCGCTGAGCGAACTATTGGCGCTTTATAAATACTGTATAATAATAATAATACTCTCTTAAACTTAGATGTGTGACATCGGGGTTATTGATGATGAGGAATGGGAGGAAATCCTAGATAACTGTAAGCAGGTTTCCCCTAAATTGCCGGACCACCTTACCCAACTCTATATAATGCATAGGGCATATCTCACTACAACTCGTTTAGCAGTTTGGAACCGACAGGGTCCCCTATTGTCCTAAATGCCAAGTGTCCCTGGGCACGTTTTTCCATTTGATTTCGCAATGCCCACGGATAAATGGATTTTGGGCTCAGGTAGTCCGATCATATGGGTTCTCCTGTACCCTTGAACCCAAAGCCTTGTCTGTTGGGAATAATCCCCACCTCAGAAGCTGACAAGCATTTGACTCCTTTTTTACATGAAACGTTATTTAATGCCAGGAAATTGGTAGCCCCTCACTGGATGCAGGCACTTCATCCAACTCTGGAGGAGTGGAAGGCAGATATCAACAACACCCTCCCTTGAAGAAATGAATATATGTTAATAAAGGATGTCCCAACAAATATAACATTTGGGATCGTTGGTTGCAATCTACGGAGACTAGCACCTAGACGAGATAGGTCTGTTACCCCGTGACGTAGTCACTAGCCGTACCGCCCCTGCAGTAAAAATAACTACATAACTATATACAGTATCTCCCAGAAGTGAGTCCCCCTCCTCACATTTTTGTAAATATTTGATTCTATCTTTTCATGTGACAACACTGAAGAAATGACACTTTGCTACAGTGTGACGTAGTCAGTGTACAGTTTGTATAACATGTAAATTTGCTGTCCCCTCAAAATAACTCAACACACCGCCATTAATGTCTAAACCGCTGGCAACAAAAGTGAGTCCACTCCTAAGTGACAAGGTCCAAATTGGGCCCAAAGTGTCAATATTTTGTGTGGCCGCCATTATTTTCCAGCACTTCCTTAACTCTCTTGGGCATGGAGGTCACCAGAGCTTCACAGGTTGCCAATGGAGTCCTCTTCCACTCCTCCATGACGTCATCATGGAGCTGGTGGATGTTAGAGACCTTGTGCTCCTCCACCTTCTGTTTGAGGATGCCCCACAGATGCTCAATAGGGTCTAGGTCTGGAGACATGCTTGGCCAGTCCATCACCTTTACCTTCAGCTTCTTTAGGAAGGCAGTGGTCATCTTGGAGGTGTGTTTGGGGTCGTTATGTTGGAATATTGCCCTGCGGCCCAGTCTCCGAAGGGAGGGGATCATCCTCTGCTTCAGTATGTCACAGTACATGTTGGCATTCATGGTTCCCTCAATGAACTGTAGCTCCCCAGTGCCGGCAGCACTCATGCAGCCCCAGACCATGACACTCCCACCACCCATGGGGCCCCAGACCATGACACTCCCACCACCATGCTTGACTGTAGGCAAGACACACTTGTCTTTGTACTCCTCACCTGGTTGCCACCACACACGCCTGACACCATCTGAACCAAATCAGTGTATCTTGGTCTCACCAGAACACAGGACATGGTTCCAGTAATCCATGTCCTTAGTTTGCTTGTCTTCAGCAAACTGTTTGCGGGTTTTCTTGGTCATCATCTTTAGAAGAGGCTTCCTTCTGGGACGACAGCCATGCAGACCAATGTGATGCAGTGTGCACTGACAGGCTGACTCCCCCACCCCTTCATCCTCTGCAGCAATGCTGGCAGCACTCATACGTCTATTTCCCAAAGACAACCTCTGGATATGACGCTGAGCACGTGCACTCAACTTCTCTGGAAGACCATGGCGAGGCCTGTTCTGAGTGGAACCTGTCCTGTTAGACCGCTGTATGGTCTTGGCCACCGTGCTGCAGCTCAGTTTCAGGGTCTTGGCAATCTTCTTATAGCCTCGGCCCTCTTTATGTAGAGCAACAATTCTTTATTTCAGATCCTCAGAGAGTTCCTTGCCATGAGGTGCCATGTTGAACTTCCAGTGACCAGTATGAGAGTGAGAGCGATAACACCAAATGTAACCCACCCGCTCCCCATTCACACCTGAGACCTTGTAACACTAACGAGTCACATGGCATCGGGGAGGGAAAATGGCTCATTTGGCCCAATTTGGACCTTGTCACTTAGGGGTGGACTCACTTTTGTTGCCAGCGGTTTAGACATTAATGGCGGTGTGGTGAGTTATTTTGAGGGTGACAGCAAATTTACATGTTATACAAACTGTACACTGACTACGTCACATTGTAGCAAAGTGTCATTTCTTCAGTGTTGTCACATGAAAAGATAGAATCAAATATTTACACAAATGTGAGGGGGGGGG